GGAACACACTCGTAAAATCAATTATTAAAATCAGTAAAGTCAGAATGAAAATGAGTTGAGGTAATTGAATTATGTTATCCATTTGACAATAAATTATAATGACCCAATACTAATGGTTTCCTCATTGATATTTAATCAAGCAATGTTAAATGTAGCTAAGGTCATAAGTTATTTATGCAACTCCAAGTACAGGAGAAGGCATGAGATTTCTTTGGTAACTTTGTATATGCAGGAGTCTATGAAGCTCTGTTGTTAGGCTTTTAGGAATAACCAAAAAAACTACTATCTATCTATATATATATATATATATATATATTTTAAAGATTTTATTTATTTATTTGACAGAGAGAGATCACAAGTAGACAGAGAGGCAGGCAGAGAAAGGGGGAAGCAGGCTCCCTGCCGAGCAGAGAGCCCGATGTGGGGCTCGCCGAAGGCAGAGGCTTAACCCACTGAGCCACCCAGGTGCCCCGAAACTACTACACTTTTAAAATCGGGGGGAAGTCCCTGGATTTTGTTAGGTCACGTGATCCAACTTTCCCATCTGACTCTTTTCACTGCTTCCAATCTTCTCTTCATATCAGAAGCACAATGGCCCCCAATGAATCTGCCCAGAACACTTTTTTTCTTTTTAATACTGTCATTACCGTTCACAAATTTTAGTGGCTCTCCATCAGCCATGGATTGATTCTGACTCCCAATATGCAGGGTCCAGCACAGGTGGCTGCGGAGACCTCTGTCCTCTCTCTCCGTCCCCACCCCCGCCCCAGAGCCATGCACAGGGTCTCAGTTCCCGGCATCTTCCCGGCCTCAGCACCCACTCCTCATCGCCTCCGTTTTGGAAACTGGAGCTCTACGCGGTCAGCTTGTTAACATCAGTCGAAGAGAAACATTAAAGCGAAACACCTGACCTCCCCGGTCCCTCCCAGCCCCACGTGCGGCCTTGCATGTGACCGATGCCCACGGAGGTGAGAGGATGACCCGTCCAGAGAGGCCTGCAGTCCCAGGGCCATGTGCTCTCTCTCTCTCTCTCTCTCTCTCTCTCTGCCGCTCGCACCCTCCAACCCAGCAGGTGGAAACCCAGTGCTTGTGGAGGCCAAGCCCAGCCTCACACCTGCCGGCCGGCAGAGCAGCCCAGGGACCAAAGCTGCCCAAAGCTCTCCCACAAACAGAAAAGAGACAAAAATAAATAAAAAGAAATGGCAACTGAGTTACACACGGAAAATGTGCTTGTTAGGATTTATCTGAACAGAGCCTTCAGCTATGGAAACTCACAACAGCATCTCTAACTGTTCTCATTTCTAAAAATACCGCCCGTTTAACCCCCGCAGCCACTCTGAAACCGAGAGCACTACTGATGTTTTTGCTGCTAGTTAGTGTTTCAAAGGACCTTTGCCCTAAAGCTTCACTAGCCCAGAGCAGAGCTAACGGGGGGCTTCAGGGTGGGCCCTTCCTGGTGCTGGCTCACGGCCAAGGCCAGGCCACAGCTGCTCAGCCCAAGACATCTTTTTTCACCAATGACATTCTCCACTTGATGAGAAAAGCAAACCAGAATTATCTTTCAGATTTAGCTACTTCAATCCCCAAAGTGTGAACTGGGGGGTGGTTCGTATTCCATGAAGACTGTTTCTCTTTCTAAATCCTAAACATTTAAAAATAGCTCTCTGCTTGGGCTGGAATGCCATGTTCTGGTATTTTGGCCTCTTCAACGTGGCTCTTTTGTGATTCTGAAGCCATTTCACCGCTCCTGGAATTTGCTGGAGACAGACTCGCAAACAGAACGTCCTGGGAGGTGGGTGTGGGCAGGAAAACAGGCCAGTCCACCCGGCCCCAATGCATTTTCCCCAGGGAGCTTCCCTGCCTCCCTCACACCTGTGGACCTGCTCTCCATCTCCGCGCCGGTACACGCACTGCTCAGAAAGATGCCACCACCCGAAAAAGCTCAACTTTAGGTTAAAAAGCAAAAGGTTGGCAAGCACACAGTCTCCAAGGCACGTGAGGAAGGGGAAGAAGCAGCTGTAAATGTCAACGTCCGCATTTCCTCTTTCTTTCCAGGGTGCTGAAGTCCTGCCCACCTCCCCACACCTGCCTCTGCCTGCACGAAGCATCGTGCTGCTGGCCGTGTGCTCCCAGCCCCGCTCCGGGGGCCAGACAGCTACATGGGCTTGCCCATCGGGGTTTGCAGGATGGCGGGGGTAGGCCCTGGGAAGTCAGGCAGTGGGAGCCAGGCCTCGAAGGGAGGAACAGTGGAGTTTAGGCACCTGCCAAGGCCCCGGATCCCTGGTTCCCTGCACAGCTGCAGCCCAGCTCCGATGTCCCTCACCCAGTCCCACCAGGTGCCCGAACTGGATAGCGTTGACCCTCCTCTGTGCCCCCTCCACCCATCGTCCGTCCAGCCCGGGCTCTTCCTCGCCACCCCTCTGCGTCACCATCTGCAGCTCTGCAGGCGTATCTCTCTCCTGCAGACACGGTCGACTCAGGTCACCCTCTCACTCTGCACCCTCTGCTCGGCCAAACAAGAATTCGACTCTTGACCTACTGGGTGCCTCTGCTCCCCAGCTGAGCTAAGGAAACACACAATCTCCCTGACTGGGGTCTTGCTTCAGGGGTACTCCCAATGCTACCACGTGAACACTCTTTCTAGAGGACTTGTCATTCCTTCCCTGGTCTCCCCAAACTCGCAACCCCTCCTCCACCATGGCTGCCTCCGCTGGCCACCTTGTTTCTTATTTTGCAAAGAAAATAGAAGCAATCAGAGGAAAACTACTGAGTGAGCACCATACCTGGGTCCCCACATATCTGTCACTAGCCTACCCTCCCCCCACTTACCTGCAGGCCTCTTGAAGCAAGAACTGCTTGTACACAGACGCACCTCTCGCCTGCTCAAGAAATGACTGAAACAGCCCCCGTCCTACATTATCAATCTTCTGCTCTCTACTAACTTGCCACCAGCCTGTAAGTATAATGTTAATGCTTCCAACCAAAAATTAATGCTCTCGGCCTTATTTACCCAGACACCGCCCCATATTCTGCTCCCTTTGCGGCAAAGCTTCTCACGACGGTTGTCAACAATATGTCTCCAACTCCTCCCCTCCGTCCTTCCCTCTGAACTCACTCCAGTGGCACTTCTGCTTCCCGCAGTCACCAGACCCACCTGCCATTCTTCTGTTCTTCCCAAAGCCACCAATGACCTGCCTGGCGCTGACCCAAGAGAACTCTCGGCCCTCATGTCACCGGACCGTAGCTTCTGACTCCCTGCTTCTGAGATGATCTCATGTGGCTTCCAACATCTCTGGCGGCTCCTGCTTGGTCTCCTTTGCTGCCTCTTCCTTCTCTCTCGTTCTTCATAGAGCTAGAAATGTCCCAGGGCCCAGTCCTCACAACTCGCCTTTCCCTAGGATCTCATCTGATCGTGTTCCTTTAAATACCATCCACAGGCCCAAAACTCCCACTGTGCCCCAGCTCCCATCACAGTCCTCACTAGGGGAATGTACAGAGCTGTCCACTCACCATCTGTCTTACAGCCTCTCAGTGTCTCAGACTGAGCTTCCAACGTTCCTGTAGCCCAGCTTTCCCTCTCCGCAGACTTCCTGTCTCAGTGGGGGACAACTCAATCTAGTTACAGCAGCTGAAATCCCTGACGTGCTTAGATGTGACCCTTCCTCTTGCACCCCACACCCATTCTCCTGGGACATTTTAGGGACTTTATCTTCAAACTAACCAGAATATGACCACTTTTCACTACTTGCACTGCTACCAGCAGGGCAAGCCACCATTATCTCTTGTCTGAATTACTGTAACAGATTTCTCTACTGACCTCTAAATGGTCTCTTCATCTACCCTCCTCCTCCACCCCTACATCCTGTATCAATACAGAGGCCAGAGTGACTCTGTCAAAATGGATGCAGGGTACCTGGGTGGCTCAGTCAGTTAAGTGTCTGCATTTGGCTCAGGTCATGATCCCAGGGTCCTAGGATCGCGTCCCTCGTCCCACCCCCTCTGCCACTCACCCTGCTTATGCTCCCTCTGTCAGAGAAATAAATAAAATCTTAAAATAAAAATAAAAATAAAATGGAACGCAGAGCCTGTCTCTCCTCTGTTTAATACCCTGCACTGATTTCCCATCATCAAACCTAGAATTCCCCAATGTCTGCAGTGCTACACATCGTGAGCTTCCTGTCACCTCCTGACCAGCCCCCACCCCAACTCGTGTCCCTCTGCTGGTTCCCCTCCAGCCACCCTGCTTCCTCCAAGACACAAGGGAACCTCTGCAACCAGCTTTTCTCCTAACTGCAGTGCTCTTGTCCCAGACACCAAGCGGTTAGTTAGCACAACTCCTTAAATCCATGTTCAAATGTCCGCTTTTTAATGACACCTTTCTAACCACTCCCTTTAAAACTGCAAGCTACCCACCATCCTAAATTTGGTCTGCTTTTTGTTTTCTCCACGACATGCAGGCCTTGTAACAAAACATGTAATTCTCTTCTTCACCTGTCAGCTGTCTGTGGTCTGTCTCCGTCCCCACCCCCACTCCATCCTCCACTCACATCCCCACTAAACTAGGATCCCCATGAGAGCGGGGGTTTGCATCTGTTGTGTTCACTGTGGGTCCTGAGTTGCAACAGGGCCCAGGAGCACAGCCCTCTGGTTCTCCATGAATTAATAAATCAGTGAGACCCTGGACTCATTTTCAAGACCTGTTTCCCGATCTACCAAACAAGACCAGCAAGATCAACCTCACAGCTTGTTAAAAGCAGTAAATGAGGACCCATGTGGAAATCTTCATAAAATATTAATGACTCTAACAGCTGAACATAATATGTTGAGAAACATCCTTAAAATTAATTCAGGAGCAGTGTAGTAGGTAATCGCTTACACGATGTCGCTTAAGAGGTACAGAAAAATCTACCCAGGCAGGGTTACAGTCTCCCCAGTGGCCGAGATTCTACTAAGACATACATGAAGGTTTTCAAGCCTTCATTTTCCAATTTCAAAACTACCTCCGAGAAGTCCTGAGGGGAGGAGAGGAACTGTCTTCTGCCCAAATCCCGGGGTCCCTCCAGCCCTGGGGACCGCGAGCGTGCCAGACTCAGCAGAGGGCTGGGCACCTGGGGAACGTGAGGAGAGCGCAGGAGCTCAGAGAACAGGTTGAAGGAGGAGGAAGCGAGACCCACGAGGCTGACTTCAGCCACGCCAGCACCGGCCTCTCACATCTCCAAGCCAGGAGGGAAGGCAATGGACGGACCCACCAAAAACTGTATGGAATCAAACATTTGAGAAGTATCATGGTTCACTGGAGAGGTCTGTGGTATTAACAGCCCAATTCCACCCAGAAGTTAACAGATAAATCCACCCACACAGATAATTCTCAGATAATAAACTACCCCTTGGCTTGCACCTTCTGGCCACTCCCCTTCCAGTCACAGCCATCAGAGTTCTCCCGATTGGATTCCTACAGGGACACAGTCAGGTCCAAAGAAAAGCGAAAAATAAGACAAGATGATGTTCATTGTAATCCCTAAGGCAACCACTCAGAAAATAATTCCAAAACATATTCTAAAAAAGGAACAATGGAATTAAAATGGTGTACTATAAACTACTTAGCATAAAAGAAGACACAACAGAGGGGAAAAGGAACAGAAAAGACAAAGGACCCAAGGGAAACAAATAGCAAAATGGCAGGTATAAATTCTACCTTATCAGTAATTATATAAAATGGTCTAAACACTCCAATCAAAAGGCAGAATTTGGTAGAATGGAGTAAAAAAATATAAACTCTTAGAAGAGACCCATTTTAGAATAGTATCAAAAAGAATAGGATATTTACAAATAAATTTCACAAAAGATGTTTAAGACTTATACACTGAGAACTACCAAAACATCATTAAAAGAATTCAGGGGCGCCTGGGTGGCTCAGTGGGTTAAAGCCTCTGCCTTCAGCTCAGGTCATGATCTCAGGGTCCTGGGATGGAGCCCCGCATCAGGCTCTCTGCTCAGCAGGGAGCCTGCTTCCTCCTCTCTCTGTACCTGCCTCTCTGCCTACTTGTGATCTCTGTCTGTCAAATAAATAAATAAAATCTTAAAAAAAAAAAAGAATTCAAAGACCTAAATAAATGGAAAGACATCCTGTGCACGAGGGTCAGACGACAATGTTGTTAAGACAGCAATACTCCTTGATCTGATCTTTGGATTCAGTGTCCTGTCTACTCAAATCCCAGGTTCTCTTTTTTTGTTGTTGGTTTAAAATTGACAAGCTGATTCTAAAATTCATATGGGAATGCAAGAGACTTTGAATAGCCAAAAGAACCTTGAAAGAGAAGGAAAGTTGGAGTCCTACTTCCTGATGTAAAAAAAAAAAAAAAAAAGCCGAAGTAATCAAGATGGTGTGGCCTTGGCATAGGGACAGACACACAGATCACGGGATTAGAACTGACAGTCTAGAAATAAACCCATACATCAACGGGTAACTGGTTGTTAACAAGAATGTCAGGGCGTTTTAAAGGGTAAGTGACAGTCTTTTCGGCACCTGGAATGAATCACAAGACAAACTTTATACCTCTCACAAAAAATTAACCCACAACAGGCCTGACCTCAATGTAAGAGTGAAAATCATAAAACTCTTCAAAGAAAACATAGGAGTTAAATCCTTGTGGCTTTACATTAGGCACCAGTTTCTTAGGTATGTCGTCAAAAGCACACACAATAAAAAAAAAAAGAAATTTTAAAATTTCAGGTGTCAAAAAAACATCATCAATAAGGTTAAAAAAACAACTCACAGAAGGTAAGAAAATACATACAAAACATCCGACTGACAGGGACCTAGTATCTGTCCAGATTATATAAAGGACCAACTCAACTCAAGAGTAAAGAAGAGACAAATAACCCAAATCAAAAATGGGCAAAACGTCTGAAGAGACATTTCCCTAAACAAGAGACCGATATGTCCAATAAGCACATAAAATTTTCACCATTCGAGTCACACATATTTTGTATGTTAGAGGTATTGTATACTGTGTTCTTATAATAAAGTAACATAAAGAAAAGGAAATGTTGTTAAGAAAATCATTAAGGAAGAGAAAGTACATTGACAGAACTGTACTGTATTTATTAAACGAAATCTGTGTATAAGTGGGCCCCGCATGTCAAACCTGTGTTGCCCGAGGGTCAGCTGTACTTTAAAATGGTCAGTTGTACCTCGTGAAACTATTAATAAAAAAGAAATAGCAGGGGCGCCTGGGTGACTCAGTTGGTAGAACGTTTGGCTGTTCATCTTGATTCCCACATCGGGGGTAAAGATTGCTGAAATAAATACACTTAGAAACAAACAGACAGACATCAACTGGAAAAAGCTTGAGTAAGGCAAGATCACGCCTGGATCTCCCACTCTCTTCTCAAGTGCAGTGCCTGTTCAGGAACGTAACACCAACATCTGAACTTGGCTTATTTTTAGGCGTGTCTGCTCAGGGGGCAAAGGACAAAATCAATTCTGTCTTTCTAGTCACTTCAAAGAGGGGCATCCGAGAGCAGCAAATGTTTAAATGTGACCAGACGTGAGATATGCCCCGGTGCATAGACCCACAGCTACTCCTTCCTCGCTGCTCTGTGGCTAAAATGACAAGTGTTCCCAGGCGCAGCCTCAGCCCTGCATCACTCAAGACCCGGCTCCTGGCTAGGAAGCCTCCCTGTGAAGGTGGGGGGGGGTCCCACCTGCCCCCCGCGTCGCCTGGCACAGGCCCAGCCTCTTCACCTGTGGAAAAGGACCCCTCTTTGGTCCTGACACATCAAGATACTGACTCCAGAAAACCTGACCGCATTTTTGGCAAATTTATTCTCTGCCTTTACTTGGCAATAAATTCAGACCCTTCCAACAAAACACAATACAATGCAGTCTCTGACTGGCTGCTTACGCCACTTTCCCTGGGGAAGAAGAGCTGGGCGACAGAATTAGCATCTTGAGCAGGAAAGAGAAGCTCTCTGCTCAGCTGGCGCACGGGCCACAAGAGACTTTTCTAGCTGCCTTTTAAAAAGATGTATAAAGGGAAGCCGTCTGCAGAGCTCTGGACACAGAGGGGTGTGCCTGGAGCCCGTGTGGGCTTTCAGGCTGTTAGCAGGTTGCAAAGACCCTTGACCCATCCTTTCCGGAGCCCCAGGGCCAGGGAGCTGCCCACTCCCGTGCTGCCCCAGCCCAACAACCGGGCTGGAGCTAAAATGTGGCCGTGTTTCCCGCCGGGCCTTTTCATACATGTGGAGTATGAGCGGCGGCAGCCTGCAAACACAGCTCGCTGGCCTGGGTACCAGGCGCTGCTCTTAGCACTGGCTGGCCTCTGAAGCCGCAGGGCATGTGAGCGGTCAGTTCCTGTCCTGACATTTCCCCACAAGCCCCGCTATTGTTAGCGCGCAGCTCTGCAGAGCGCCAGGAATGCACAGACGGTGGTGGAGCTCAAGCCCAGTGGTACGCGCTCGGTTATCAACCTTTTCTGCCCTCCTACCAGCCGCTGAGATCCCGGGTAGGAGTGACACAAAAATGGATGGAATGTGGGGCGCCTGGCTGGCTCAGTCAGAGAAGCATGCGACTCTCAATGGGCTTGATGTCAGGGTCGTGAGTTCGAGCCCTGTGTTGGGAGCGGAGATTACAAAAAAAAAAAAAAAAAAAGGACTAAATTTATAACTAGGAGTGGTGAAGGCCTTTCAAAGTAAACCTCAAAACTAAAGAAGAAAAAAGATGCCATCAGACCAGCAATGATTAAAAATTCAACACTGCTGGATAAAAAGTCCATACTGTTGAGTGTGGTGTAATAGGAAATTTCATTTATTATTTTAGGAGTATAATAATAGGTGCCATTTTTAAAATGATTTGGAAATAGATCCAAATATAAAACATGCAGGGGCACTTGGTGGCTCAGTTGGTTAAGGCTCTGACTTCATTTCCACTCTGACTCATGACCTCAGGGTCGTGGAATTGAGCCCTACATCAGGCTCTTTCCTGGGAATGAAGTCTGATTGAGATTCTCTCCTGCTGCCCATCCCCCTGCTCACTCTCTCTCTCGCTCAAATAAATACACAAAACTTTAAATATATATATTAAAAAACACGCACACCTTTGGCCCACACGTGCCACCCTATTTATTCTACAGATAGACTGGCAAAAATATCTCCTATGTATGTAAAAACATAGTCTTGGTAGCATTCTTTGAAAGAGGAAACACTGAAAAGCTACTTAAATGTCCAGCAAGAGGGACAAAGTGAATAAATAACATGGTGTCATCCATGCAAGTCAAGAATGAGCCAGCCCTGGATGGGTTGGTATGAAAAGATGTCTAAGACACAACAGCAAATAAAAAGACATAGTACAAGACGTTTATACAACAATACAATTTGTGAACATAAATTTAAGTAATGCATTCACACATAATTTTTCTAGAAGAATGCAGAAAAAGGGAAAACCCATTGATAATCATTTTAGACTAAAGGGAATTTTACTTTTCATTTTATTCCCAACTGAACTTTTTTAATTTCTGCATTTATAACTCTAAGGTTTTAGAGATAAAGATTTTTTTTTTTTTAGCTAAAGATTTTTGATGTAGTATATTGCCCATGGAATAATACACACTGAGGAAAAAAATATTTTTGTTTGGTCTCACAAAAGATCACATTAAGTGCAAAATATTGCAACTCCGAATTAAAATCCTACAAAAACACCCCCTTGCTTTGCATTCTCAGGTCCCTGAAGCAAATCCTCAGTGTGGGGCCTGTTCTCACATCTAAACTAGGACTGGTTAGTGAAGACTCATCCTCCTTCTCCTTGTCTCTCTCTCCTCTCCATGATGGATGCACTTTTAGACTTGGTGTCTAATGATGACCAGTCACCAGCACAGAACTTTGCTCATGAAGAAAAAGTGCCCCGCTTACCTACAACTCCTCACACACAGACACGAAAGGAATCCAAAGGCAATCTTTCTTACTTCTCCCCCAATCTTTCAGTTTCCACGTTGAGGATTTCTTTTAGCTGCTGCCCAATG